TATTTTTTATGAACTCTAATCATAATAGTCATGACACTTTTCCAATGAAAAACAAAAATAATAATCATTTAAACCTTTCACCCCGCATATTCCAGTGTAAAAAGTAGTGCATTCAGCTAATTTAAGTGGCAGGATTGTTTGTGCAAAATTTGGTATCTGTAGGTAATTGCAAATATAACTTTATTTTACATAAACAAACTCTTTAAAATATAAAATAGATTTCCAAAAGTGATGAATGGGGACCAGAGAGCGTATAGCACTTTGAAATTGCTCAGTCCCATAGCTGACAAGCAGAAAAGATTATAGGGAGGTGGTACTGCTTATAAATTGTGTCAGCTACGAGCAATAGGCTAAGGAAATTATACAATCAGCTGGCATATTACTAGCTACGCAAGACAAATGGTGTAACAAGCAGCTAGCGAAGGACTCTGTAAAAGACAGTTCAGTTCTGATTTTTGCTTCTCCATTATTATTTCAAACATCCTTTCTGGCATACTCTACACTTTCGATGCCCAGTTCTGTACCACTGAAGTCAACAAAAAACTCTGCACCCTGTTTTGATCCTGATCCTTAGTAACATCAGTTATAGGTATAACTGGAAAATTGCCTTTATAACACAAATTCTAGTTTCACAAACTCATAACATTCATCTTTAAAATTCTCTGTGATTGGACTCTAGCAAAAGCTGATTTTCCCATCTGTCCCCTTCCCCCCCATTCCATCCCCACACAACCTGGAACATGGACAACATCCCTCCAGAGCGGGGAACATTTTTTGGGTCAGGGACCATTGACCCACAGAAAAATCAGTCAGGGTCCAGACACAAATGAGAAACAAACAAACAAAAAAACCCTTTTCACTGAGGGGGCCCCCAACTGAGGAGAAAGACACTCCCCACATTCCCTTCCCACACCAGAGCCTTGGAGGGGCCCAGGCTAATAGATTTTCTGTGCTCCAGTCCCGTGGGGGGCGGGGGAAGAGGGGACTGAAGCACCAGCACAGGCTCCCCAATGCTGGGGAGGAGCCCTGAGCCTCAGGGGCCAGATCCAGACAAGCTGGGGGCTGCATCTGGCCCCTGCACTGTAGGTTCCTCACCCCTGCTCCAGAGATTAAAATTTTATTTCAAAAAGTCCTAATCAAATTCTTTTAGGCAAAGCTAAAGCAAAAATGACTAACAATTTAAGCTTGGTATAGACGTAGTCCTCAGTGAAGAATTGTGAGCTGTTCAGTGTTTCTTTTTCACTTCATTTTTTATTGGACAAAGATAGGAGTGTTTAAAAAAATAGGCAGCAACAGATTTCCTGAGGCCTGCAGGTAAACACTAAAACAAAGGTGTGCTGGGCATGTAGGTATTATAAGATTGGTGTTTAGCTATTATTATTAGGCGGTGGTTCAAAGAATTTACATGCTCTGCTAACAAAGCAGTAAAATTAGGGCTATCATATTGGGCTCATATTGTATTAGAGAACACAACAACTGTATAGTATATGTGAGCCAAGCCAGAATTTCAGCTCAGTTCTCTAGTGAAAGCCCAGTAACTCTGACTTGAATTTGCTTGAAAGTGACAGCTATTAAAGTTAGGCCTATTTTAGATAGAGGGTTTTGTTTTGTTTTAAAAAGTAGCTGAAACAAGCAATACACTATAACCTCTATAGATCTAAAATAGTCCTTTTCTGACTGTAGATATTTTTTCCCCTGAATGATTGTGAACTAAAACTTTAGGGTTATAAAATCTTGAAAATGGGGCTTGTGATGGAAATGACAATTCAATTGAGACAAATGATGCTCTAAGAAATCAGCAGGACGGCAGTGTTCCTCTGAGTGTTTGGTTCTAAGGGCCAGTAAACTCTGTAGCTATTTTTGTGCTGTCGGTCACAATGACCACATCCTCTCTCTTTCTTACACCTCCCTATCTGACAGACCACTTCAGATCACCAGACAATTCCTCTGGATAAGTTAGCAACATGCTACTGAGGGGAACTGCTTCCTGTTTATTTTCTTCCTGTTGCACCATACAATCTTGGTTAATTTGTTACTCTGCAATGAGTGCCGGTTCTCTTATAAACAGATTATGTGTTCACACACATCACCAATGCTCGGCTGCATTAGGATATTCACAAGATAACAGTACCACAAAAGAGCTGTGTGTTTATAACAAATGCCAGCACGATGCAATAGCAAGTGAATGTACAAGCCAAGAGAAAACCTCATGCTATTACTGTATTTTCTCCCTTTCGTCTCTTCCCCTACCCCTCGAGAAGCTGGACTAAGCTGGCGCACAGCCTGTCAGAGAGGTGTGAATTACACTGCCATACACAGTTCAAGTCTGTGTCATCCAAAGCAAAATGTGCTAGTCTTGGCTTAAGCAGATTAATGGGAATTTCCTTTTATTTATTTATGTTGAGACACAGCTTTTCAATTTTTTCCCCCTCAGGATAAGCATGGAGATATAAACCCACGCTCGGCCAAGCACATCCTGAAAAATGTATTAAATGTGTTTTTCATCCCTCTCCTTTCTTAGTACAGTCTATGTTCTTGAAAAGTGAGTTTGTACCACTCAATTTACTCACAGCTCTGCTGTGAAGTTACCATTATTTAAAGATGAATATCTTAGAAGGTGAACACCACAGCTTGAAAACAAAGCGTGGCTCTGTCAGACCCCTTCAAAAAATGATGAATTTTATTGAATCAAACAAGTTAGCAGTAGAAATAATCCATCATCCCTTCTGTTTTCCAGGTACTGATCCCTAGCATACATTTCTCTAGTGATTTGTTCATTGTAGTATTAAAAGTCCTGATAGGGCTTTCTCCACTTCTGGGGCTGTTCCAATTTTCCTTCTTTTAAAAAAAAAATTGCATTCCTTCATCAGTACTTCTGTGGAGCAGGGGGTTAATAAGGCATTGAATCACAGACGCCAAGACTTCAATGGGCTCTGCCTGACATGCAGGAGTCAATGCGCATGGAGCTCACTGCAGGATCAAAGTTTAAGTCTTCATTCCCCACAGGTATTTTCACCCTTCAGATATTTGTACAACAGAGTTGTCCCATCACCTCCACTGCTGCTGCTTAGCCAAATTCTACACAATTGGCTTTTTAGATCTTTCCCCATAAGTCAAGTTTTCCAGGATCTGAATTACTTCTATGGTGGTGCCCAGAACCAAAACACAAAATTCCAAATACACCAAATCCTGTCCAGTCCATCATCTGTTCCTTTTGCACATACAGTCAAAATTGCATTGAATTTATTATCTGCCAAAAAAGCTACGTGTCTGCATCTGGGTCTCTTAGCCTTATCAGTTCTCATATGTCCCCTCTCCTGTTGAATATACATATTTTATAGGATATTTTCCTATCTACATTATATTTTTTCCCCAGTTTTTCATTTTATTATTTTCTGCTCATGTTTATACTCTCTCTAGGTCCCTTTCTGTTACCTATAAAGTCGAAATATCAATATATTTCTTATACCTCAAGGGTGGGAAACCTCAGATGCAGGGGACACAGAACCATATGCATTCCCGGGGAGCTGCACCAGGTAAGCACCCCCCTCCTTTGCCCACATCCCTCATTCCCAACTGCTCCTGCACCCTACCTCCTGCTCAGCTCTCCCATCCCACTCCTGCACCCTCTCTACCACCCAGACCCAACACTTCAAGCCATCTTCCCAGCAACCATCCCCTTGCAACATATCCAAAAGTAACTTCCACAGATAGTTCAGACAAGATACCAAATCTGCAGCCAGGTTGAACTAATGGTTGTGGAGTAAGGCAGTCTGAAACACTGGAGCCTTCAATTGAATGGCTTCACTGCATTGGCTTTTACCAACCTGTGTATCCATGATAAGTCTAACTCATACATATTTATTTATTGACCACATTAAACTTTTGATAGTCATTATATTTCTATTGACTTCCTCATGCACAAATCAGTACAAAATAGAGTCTATACTAGTCTAACACTCACAAAAACCAATACCCTACCAGAAGCAAAGAACTACTGTAAGTTAGTAGTATATGCTAAAACATTCAACAGTAGAAAGATGACTATGGCTACGTCCAGACTGCAGTGTTAAACTGGAAAAAGATACGCAATTTGCGTACTACAAATTGCATCTCTTTTTCCGATTTACTTTCTAAAGAGACTTTTCCAAAATTTGGTGTCTACACATGACAGTAAATTTCAGGAAAGAGTTCTCTTTCAACACATCCCTGTTTCATAGAACAGGGATGGCGAAAGAGCACGTCCGCTTTTTCAATTTCTTTTCCAAAAAGCGGACACATTCCTTGGACGCAGTGTTCCTTTTCTGGGATACTGGAGGTATCCTGGAAAAACAATGCAGTCTAGATGTAGCCTTAGTATCATACACCCTATTGACTTTTCAGTGGGACTTTGAGTCCCAAGTCATGTTAGTGCTTTTGAAAAATGTTACCCACAATACATCATGTATCTCACGTATCCTTTGTATCTAGGGCTGTCAGTTGGTTTAAGTGTTAGTATTTTGAAACCATCCTTCATATACATTTCAATTATAGAAAAAAATATTCCAAAATCAGTTTGAAAGTAGTGATCTGTTGCACTCAGCAGAATTTCTTTACTAGCTGACAGCTCAAATAAAAAAGAAGAATCCATTTATTAACCCCATTTTAAAGATTTGCAAATGTGTGTACTATATGAAACTAGGACTACTCCTTTACATGTATCTTCAAGAACTGAAAATAACCCTCTCTTCTTCAAACAAAATGGAGAATAACTCACAATAAAATCGACATGCTAATGCTAACATGCAGGCTTAATCATACATACTCATAGAAAAAAAAGAATAGATATTTCACTATCTCCCACAAAAATAGTTCTGAACATTATTTCATCACACCAAAAAGTCTTGGGAAATGGAAAGTCCACTGTTACTACAACACATTTTTTCAACCGTGTCTGATATGAGCTTCAGCTTCCAAGACACTCAATATTTTTTAGTTTTCTTTATAAGAGAGCCATTTACCTGAGCTGAAAAGTCAATTAGCTTTGGTAGAAGTAATTTACTTCCTTCATCACTCTTCAGAAAATCCAGCAAACTACCTGTTCCAATGTGGAAAGAATAAATCAGCACAGCTCTCAAGTAAAATAAAGTAACATGTCTACAACCAGCCTCACTAACTTCCGTGTGGTTGAGCTTTAGCAGTCTAAGTTTTGTTTTAGCATAGTTTTAAGCCCGCCACAATTAGTTAGACAGTTCCTTTACATGTTATAACAACAATGCTGGTCCGATATCTCAGCTGATCAGCTTTGCAACTTTCTGTGATGCAAAACTAAAAGGTCAAGCTTCTCCTGAGTTAAGCATTGTGATGCAAAACTAAAAGGTCAAGCTTCTCCTGAGTTCAGCATTGTTTTTTTACATCTTTTTTTTTTTTTTTTTTTTAAATTTGAGTAATCCATTTTTCCCATTCTAAGGAATATCAGGAAAGTTGTTCTCAGAGAATCACCCATCAGAGAATCAATAGCAACATTTTGAAAAGTCACAAAAATTGTGTCTAAAATCAAAGGAAGCTGAGCTTTTTGGCAGTATAACACAAGTATAAGATCCATTTACACAGGACCCAATTCTGATTTGGCAACCTTTACTAGCATAGTGTAGTAATAATTCATAAACATTTTGCAGTTCTTCAAATAGGGCCAATCAACAGGACTTTTCATGAATTTAACTGCATATATAAAAACTATAGAGTAAAATTAACACAACTATTTTCCCCCTTGTTTGTTACTACAGTTTGACGTTTAATTAAGATGTGCTTACAGAGACCAATCACGCTCACCTTTTGCCATGAATTCTGTTATGATATAAATAGGTTCTTCTTTGGTGACTACAGCATACAGCCTGACTAACTTGTCATGCTGAAGTGTTTTCATGAGGTTGGCTTCCTCCAGGAATGCTTGCGCGGACATAGTTCCAGTCTTCAGAGTCTTCACAGCCACCTTTGTACTATTGTTATAGTAAGCTAGAAAAGAAAGATATTGTTATGGCATAAAAGTCATTCAGCACAGCCCACTGACTCTTAAGAGAGTTTATAAACTAGGTTGGACTTCACTGATTCAGGTCAAGGTCAACAACTCTGAACTGTGCCCAAGTCAGATTGTTTTTTATTTCATCCTTCAGACATTCGGCCTCCCTTAAATCAACCTGTTTCCAAACTGTACAAATACATAAAGGACAAAATACTTCCCAAGGAAGACAGACCCCCTGATCCATGGAGGGCAGATGCCTCACTGCATTGTTGGCCAGTGAGCCTTCTTTAAGTATTTGTCACCTTTCCCACTATTGATAACTCCTCATTGGCCAACGAGTCCTTCATTCCGAGACCTGATAGAGCTGACTCTGAGTTCCCCCAGCTGCCATGGAGACAGGACATCTTCCATCTCCACCTCTAACCCAGCTCAGCCATGAGAACATTGGAGTGGTTATCATCATAGGAACACACACAACAGAATTCTACCAGTTCCTCCTCCAGGCACATAAAAAGAGCAAACGGCCATCACTTCATATACATATTAAAAAGGAGCCATAGCCAAATGTCTGTGTGTTTTGAGTTGGCCTATGAGTCAAGTCAACTTCTTTTAAACTCAAAAGAAATCATAGATGAAACCTTTTACCCCAAGTTTCAAAGCCACGGGGAATGTTTATGACAACTATAAACTCGTGGAAAAAAATGAAACATAAGATATGCTGACAGATTCATAACTATACTATTGCTATCGGATGTGATCACTCTCTCTCATATAATCTCTCCTCCCCGCCACCCTTTTCTAACTATAAAACTAGTTACACTCCTTTTGCGAACAACAATTTCTTCAGAAATCGAGCCATAGATTATAGTTTCTACCTGGTACATATTATTGCTTTAAAAAAATCATCTTTGTCCCATAAAGGCAAAAGTAATTCCTCATTGAGAGACTATGACCATGTTATCTCCAAATGCCATTTTACAATTAATGGAAGAGTTAAGGGGCTGACTATTAATAATGTGACCATGGTGCTTATTACAATCTTGCTCTAATCGGTCTTTTCCAGTGATAGCTTCGTCTGTTCTAAGATAAACATACGTGACTAGAAAGGATCCCCACCATGCAAATCAGCTTCTCTTGCTTCAGAAAAAACGCAGAGAGTAAGAGGAAACACGCTACTCAACTTCACAGTACAGTAATTTCCCACATAATGTAACACAATCCACAGAGGAAAATATTAAGCCCAATTTAGACGTCAAGATCATCACATAAACAAGAGGAAACATCTTGAACCAGAAACACCCCCATTTAAATTTTTGTGCATGTGTATGCAGAACTAGTAACTTCCTGAAATTAGCTGTAATTTCAACAGATGACAGCATACCATACTGGCTTTTCTACAGCAGTTCAGAGTCAGTCTCAATCTTTATAAACTTGATATATTACTTAGGGAAAAAATGCACAATAGCTGACACTTGTCTTAACTAGTGAGAAAGCATCACTCATGGGCCTCACAGCTAGAGGCTCTCTCAGGTTTCCTCTCATGAGGGAAGATGAAAGCTGCATTCAATCATAACATAATACAGATATATAATCAGAATGCAAGTAGTATGTTCTTTAGTCAAAGATTAAAAATAAAATTAGAGCTTTTTGATTGACTATCAAAGATGCTGCCCCCATGGCAATATACAGATCTAGAGGTTTTACTTTTACATACACACATACCATTCAGAACAAACATTCCACATAGTGCGTTCCCGTGAGACTATTATTCTATTTTAGATGGCTAAAGTCACCCTGGCTTAGCTTTGTGCCTCCTGCCAAGCTTCCAGGCACACTTCCATTGCTCAGAAATGCATCATCTACTCTGTATCTTATTATTTAAAAACATTTTAAACTGCTTAAAATGTTTAAAATTCTTTAAAGATGACCTATGAAAGCGAAGAAGAGATTCAGAGAAGGGTAAAGAGTAGCATTAGGGATACGAAGATAGACGGAACAACTAGATTGGTTTTCCTCTGAGAAGAGATGAATATGAAGGGACATAAGCATATAAAATAATGAATGCCCAGAGAAGGTAAATCAGCAACTTCTGTTCTCATAACACAAAAGCAAGGGAACGTAGTGAAATTAAAAAGGTGGAAAATTCAGAATTCACCGAAGTAAATACTCTTCACAGATATGGAAATTAGACAGTGGAACTCATTGCCACAGGTAGTTGTTGAAGCCAGGAACAAAAAACAATTGTATAATTAGATGGATAACAGGAATAACTAGGGTTTTTGTAATTAATGCTAAGCATTTTTGGAAAGCATAGTAAGTGTCATAATTTTGAGTCTTCAGACATTCTAACTTTTGGAGCTCAAGATGAAACAACACTTGGGCTGATTACTCACAAATCTGCCAACTGCAGAGATTCTATCTCTTCCTGGTCATCAAATGGTACTGGCCACCGCCAGAGATAGGATACTGGACTAAGCAGACCACTGGTTCTGATCCAGTAGGACAATTCTTATGTACTACTTTCCAGTCTTCTCTTTACAAAGAGATACTGAAGCTCTGCACGAACACCAAAAATACATACAAAAGAAAATGTATTTTAAGTGTTCCAGTGCACATCTTTACCCTAATTTTAAAAGAGTATTTTGTAAAGGCGGAGACATCAGGCAAAAGATGCTGGACCAAAGCCTGAAGTATTATGCAGTTTGTAAATTTAAGAGTGTCCCACTGGAGCCAGTGGAAGGCCATTATCATTATAGCCCTTTGAAATGATTTCACAAAGGGTACAGAAAGTCATGAAAATGCTCCAACAGTGCATATTGTATATATCTCTATCTATCACTATCCACCTGCCTAGCTATATATATTTTAGAGATCTATGCCTCTGAGTCCATTGGCTCAAGAACACCCCCTAAACGATAAGAGCTAGGGCCACCAAATTTGGTATGCAGATTCCTCTTATCCTAACTTAAAGCAGAGTCAGAGTTTGGTTGTGCCAGGCAAATGGGAAGTGCTGGGAATGGGACTGTTTTCCAGATAATGGAAACAGGGCAGAGAGGGGAGGGATGTGATACTTGCAGTCAGCACTGGGGACAGAGAGTGCAGGAGAGAGCTTTACTTCAAAGTGACCACTAGGGGCAGCCGCACCAGCTGGGGTTGGCGCTCTGCAATGGAACAGGTAAGTGGCCCTTCTGCCCCAAAACAGTTCGCGGGGAGTCCCTATCCCCAGCCTTTTGCCCTGCCCCCACCACCTGGGGCCCCCTGACTCTACCCAGGAGACCTCCCCAAAGAGAACCTGGGGCCAGGAACCATGGCACAGCCCCGGACAGCCTCCAAGACTGCAGGCTGGGCAGGGACCAGTGGAGGCCAGGGTCAGTCCCCAGCCCCCTGGACAGCCTGCAGGCTGTGGGGGAGGCCCTTGGAGGTTGGGAATGGCCCCTGAAGCCTCGACCCTTCCCCACTCACAGACGATGGGTCACGGGGAGGCTGCTGGAGGCTATAGCCAGCCCCCAGAGCCTCACCCCACCAGACCAGCTGCAGGATGGGGGAAGGACAGCTGAAGGCCAGGGCCAGCCTCCAAGGCCTCGTCCCCCGCCCCAGACCAGCCGCAGGGCAGGGAGCCAGCTGGAGACCAGGGCCAGTCCCTGAAGCCTTGCGTCCCCTACAGGGACCAGCTGTGGGGGAGGGGCGGCACAGCCCTGGCAGGAGCCATCAGCTGGAGAGTGCAGATCTATCCCCTTGGGAGAAGCTGCCGCCACATCAATCTCTTTGCCCCAGATGGACCTTTGTCCCCTGCCTGGCCTCCCAGCCTCCTTCCCTGGGCCCCTTGCCCTCACTCCTGCATCCCCACACTCCTGGGATCACCTGTTTCTTCTCTAGGAGGGTTTGCTGGTACAGCTACACTAACAAACCATTTCTCCTATAGAACTGTCCTTATAGTGGAATTATTGCACCATGGCTTTTTTCCCCCCAAAAAAGACAGACAGAGGGTACTGCATAGCCCTACAGTGTTTCTGTTTCTTCCATAGGGGAACTAACCCACCATAAAAGCTATTGGAGAAAATTCCTCAGGGAGTTTGTTTGCCCATCCTACTACTCCCACTGGTTTTCCCAATGAGAGGGCATCTTCTAGGACTTAATATGCTCATTGCAAAATATATATTGGGCCAAATTCATCCCTGGTGTTATGCCAATGAAATCTAAGTAATAACTCCACAGATGAATATGGATCCTTGAAACTGCAGATAATTAGATCTCAGTGACATTTTGAACATTTAAAAGATCCTTTTTTTGAAGTGCTAAGGAAATCAAAGACTCAAACTTACCCATCCAAACTTCTCCAAACTGACCAGCTCCAAGTTTCTTCACTAATTTAATTGACTCCCGTGCAATCTCCCAGGCATCTTTATCCCAAGGTTTTTGGGGTTTGGGACTAATACATGATTTTTCCAGCTTTCTGCATAAACCATCTGACTGCTCTATTTTTCAAAGAAAAATAAAATATCAAATCCGTTGCATTAGATAATTACACTACATTTCTGTGCCTATAGTGAAGCATGTGCAAATGCAGAACTGCATCAACTTCGCTACACCCTTCACACTATTTTTAACCTTTTATTCTGGGACTTGGGATTTTTTTGAATTCTAGAGACAATTTATAATGTATGTGTGATCTGTATTAGATGCTATAGATCTGCAGGTGCCAAAGAGAATAATGATGACATGAGTAACAAGAGAGTTGCTTTTTTTGCTCTTCCACAGTGCACTAAGCTAAATAAAGCCACAATAAATAAAATGTATGTTCTAAGTGTGTATATGTTAATGAAGACAGAATGGGAAAAACTGCTTAAGAAAAAAAAAAGATTTTGTTGCTAAGTAAAGTACATGATCCAAATCAGGAGAAGTTCTGAGTATGTGCCACTTCCACTGACTTCAGTCAGCATTTTTGAAAGCATAGATTCACTTTATTGAGATGCTTAATTTTAGGCATCTGAATCTGAAACTACATAACTTGCACAAGTTCACAAAGGAGGGCTATAGCAGAGCTACAGACAGAACTTAAGAATTTCTTGATTTGAGTCCTATGTTCAGACCACTAGACTATGCTGTTTTTTAAGCTAGGAGAGTTTTGGACACAGTAGTACATCTCTGACGACATTAATGAACACAGTATGTTGGCTCAGTTAGTTCAGAAAGACAGAATGATTATTTAGTTTGTGAGGTATTTCATTCCAAAAGGCAGCAAGCCAGGTAATCTATAGCCTGTAGAATTTTGTAGGCTAAATGCGGTTTGGTAAAGGATACTGATGTGTTTTCTCTTTTCCCTGTAGAGGAAATATTGGCTCCAATCTTGTGAAATCTGGGTAACAGAAAAGCTGACACTGGACTTCAATAAAAATAAGATTGAGCCTAGTATTCTGTTACATTTCTGTGTAGCTCTTAAATTATACAGTAGCTACCCCCTACACTATCTAGGGAATAATTATTTCTTACATCACTGCACAATTACAGAGACAAAAAATGTAATTAAGTAGGGTTGAAATTTTCAAGTTGGTGCAGGTGATTTACAACACATCATAAATTAAATCAAAATTGTGTGGCTAAACCTCCAGTGTGGCTTTGAAAATCATAACCTTGTATTTTTTCAGCATGAAATGGGCCCAACATTCCCTTTTCCTGACCCCAAAAAGTCATAGGCAATAAAAAAATCACTTTTGTACTTAGTGAGCAGCCATAGACATTTTTATAAGAGGTTACTGTTTATGGACCCAATTCTGCTCCCTTAGAAGTCAGTGGGAATTTTGCTTTCCCACCACAAAGTCACTCACAAAAATGTTATGGTTGGCACAAGAAAATTACAATGTTGATTTTGTTTTGTATAAATAACCAGATATGATACTGAAAGACATTTATGTAGAAGAAATATTTAGAATTCCAGCATATCAAAATGTAAACATATATCTGTTTACACTTTACAACAGAACTTAATCACACTGGGCCTGATTATTCTCTGCTACCATTTTCACACTGGTATTAACAGACACTTGTATTGAGTTATTCCTCATTTATATGGGCACTTAAAACATCAGAATTGAGGCTAATGTTACCAACAGCTTTATTAAGCTCTGATCTCTCTTTCTCTTTCATAATATTCATCTTGCTGCAAGTCACAGTACTTGGATATTTTTTTATACAAAAAAATGTGGAAAGACTAGAAATAGAACAACAAAGCATTTGGATTATTTGCTTTAATGAGAACAATGACTAGTATTTAATTACTAAAGTAATTGATTTAACTTACTTTGGTAATGCTTGATCATCTCACTGATGGTGGGAAATGTAATTCTTGGAGAGATGTAATATCCTCCATTGTCTAGACTTCTTATTTTGTAGTGCTTAATAACATCACCATGCTGTGGATCACAGTCCCTGATGGACAGAGAATAGCTGCCTGTTGATAAAAAGTGCAAAGATGTTGTTTAGTAAATAGGAAGCTTAGGCTATGTCTAGACTGCAAGCTTCTTTCAGAAAAAGAGATCTTTCAGAAAAACTTATTTCAAAAGAGAGTGTCCACACAGCAAAAACACAAGGAAAAAGTGATGTGCTTTTTCAAAAGATAGTATCCAATAAATGTGGATGCTATCTCACACGATGTGCTTTTTCAAAAGATAGCATCCACATTGATTGGATACTATCTCACACATAAGTTGTGATTAATATGGATGGAGTGGCCACCAGGGCACCTGTATTATTTCCTGAAGGCCTCTTCTTTCGAAAGAACTCCCTCTTCTGTGTCCACACATGCCTTTTTCTGAAAAGCTTTTTCGAAAAAAGACTTTTTCCTTGGAGAAAGAGGTTTACCACTGTTGGAAAACCCCCTCCATTCTTTTGACTTTCAGGGTACGTCTCACATGCCTTTTTCTGAAAAGCTTTTTCGAAAAAAGACTTTTTCCTTGTAGAAAGAGGTTTACCACTGTTGGAAAACCCCCTCCATTCTTTCGACTTTCAGTCAAAAGAATGCAATAGCAGTGTGGATGTAAGCAAGCCAGACTAAGGGGTGGGTTAGCCGGGCAGCTGCCCAGGGCGCCAACCTATGGGAGGCGCCTGGCTCCTGGTGGGCTGCAGCGGCCGCCCGGGGGGGGGGGCCCTGTTAACCCCCAAAGCATCGGCCAGCAGCGCCCTTTCCCCCGCAGCCGCAGGGCCCTGCTCGGCCAGGTACAGCCCGCTCCATGCGGCCCCAGGCTGCGCGCCATCAGAGATGGATGGGGAGACTGGGCAGCGCATGCGCCGTGCGTCCGCCCACGCGTCCCTGGGGTGGGCCCGCGCATGTGCCGTGTGCCTTGAGGCAGGGCCGCGCGTCCTGGGGACGGACCCATACATGCACCGTGCACCCGGGGGCGGGGTCATGCCTTCTGGAAGCGGCGCCACGCGCCTGGGGTACCAGGCACCAAAAGGGCTCGGGCCAGCCCTGGATGTAAGTATAGTTTTTCCAGAAAAATGCTGCAGTGTAGACATACCCTTACATTGCACACATAGCTGTAGTTCAATATATGTAGCAAACCCGTTAATTTTTTTTGCCTGCTTCTTTTGTCCTCTCTTTACTCCAAAAAGCATTTTGCAATCATCCCAACTGATTGGCACAAGTTAGCCAAATGCAGGCTCTGTTGCAGGAACAAATCCTGGTGCAGAGTGCTTTGTCCATGCACTTCCATGCTCGGTTTTACTCTTTATTTCATCTGTATGCTTCCAGCCTCTCTTCTGATCCATTGTTATCCTGTTCTTAGCAAATGATGTCCTATGCATCCCACCTCTTATCTTAGCTCGCTCATATCAGGGCTGCCGACAAAATTGCCTGGCCTCTGGGCAAGGTGCAGGGCAGCTCCAGGCCCCCGGAAGGGACAGGGCCTTGGAAAGTAGAGGCAGGGCTTGGGCTCAGCCTCCCCGAGTCAGCCCTCCAGCACTGTCCACCCTATACCACTTGGGGTTCTGGTGGCAATTAAAAGGGTCAACCAGGAGCCCCAGACCCTTTTAAAAGCAGCTGCTCCCTATTATCCCCACCCATTGAAAGTCTTACACTTTGTCTATGATACCAAGTTTTAAATCTCCCAAAACTGCCTTTTGATGAGCAAACAAACAAACCAAGAGAGGGAGAGGGAGAGAGAGTGCATATACACTACAATACGACTTATCAGAAAAAATGCCCAGTTTTGGCAACAAAAACTTCCGCCAGTATCCCACAATGCCTGCCCTGCTGTGTTTGCTCGGTATTTTGATCTCCCTGGCATGCTCCCCCCTCCCTTTCAAATTTCCAGGAAGTATCTGACAGCTGAGTGAGCTGCTCCATCTGGGGAACAAAGAGTAGAGCACTGGAATGTTGCTGTTCTGCCCTGCACTAGGAACACAGTTGCTGCAGGGGGGAGGGGGGCAGGTTGCTGTGCTGCTTTGACATTCCTCAGCACAGAGAGCTCATAGAGATACTCATGATGCCACTCCTGGCAGCTGAAGTTGCTGAGGGAAAATTGGGAGGGAATCTCAAGATGCGCGTGGAACGAGGTGTACCGGTAGTTCAGAATAGGAATCCTAGTTCGAACTACCTAGTTCGAGCCCCGTGTAGCCGTGCTGCACGGGGTTCGAACCAGCGGGGTTTTAAAACTGGCGGCTCCCCGCTTATGCAAATGAAGCCCGGGAAATTCAAATCCCGGGCTTCATTTGCAAGTGCGGTATGCCTACATTACCCTGCTAGTTCGAACTAGCGGGGTAGTGTAGTGTAGACATACCCAGAGAGAGATTTGACATCTCAATAGCTTTACAGAATAAGGCAATCACTATTAAAGTGATCATCTAACTGAAGGCTGGGCAAATACTGGCCTGAGGGATGGATCTGGTTCATCATGGTTAGCCTCTGGTGGGTCACTGCTGCTACGGGCTATTGCAGCTCCTGTTGGCCACGGGTCACCATATGGGCTTAAATTGCAGCAAGGGAGGTTTAGGTTGGACATTAGGAAAAACTTCCTAACTGTCAGGTGGTTAAACACTGGAATAAATTGCCTGGGGAGGGTTGTGGAATCTCCATCATTGGAGATATTTAAGAGCAGGTTGGATAGACATCTATCAGGGATGATCTGCCCGTGGGGGTAGGGGACTGGACTTGATGACCTCTTGAGATCTCTTCCAGTTCTAGTACTCTGTGATTCTATGATTCCCAACCAATCAGAGCTGCAGGAAGTGGTGTCCTGGTCTGTGCCGCTTCCCACAGCTCCCATTGGCCAGGAACAGCAATTCGCAGCCAACGGGAGCGACAGTCACCCATATCGGTGGATTGCATGCAGATAAATAGAGCAGTAGTCGCCCACCAGGGGCTTATCCTGGACAACTGCCGCCATTTTAGTTCCTGCCCCGACCTAACCCATCCTAGGAGTCACATATGTAAGGAAAGAAAAAGACCTCTCTATCCCTTTGCCTAGGATCATTTCTCACAGTACATTCTCCATTTCGAGTCTATATTTTCTAAATAGGTTTTAGGTTCTAAGCAGTAGGATTACCCCCACTTCCTTTGGAGATTTTACCACAGTCTAACTGAATTCACTAATATACCTAGCAACCAACATAACATATCAGGCCAAGTTCAGATCTTGATGAGACCATTTTTAACTCTGGTACCAATCCCAAAGTAATCCAATGCTTACCTTTTAATGTTTCACTCTCTCTGATGAGGAATGCTCCAGGATTGTTTCCTGGTGCTAGAAGCTGTCTCTCTGCATCTTTCCTGGTTATATCTTTGAAGAACCATCTGTAAAAGTATTTAGAAAGAGTTAGGGTTTTTTCTCTACCCCCAAGGATATGCAGCAGGGTGGAAAAGAAAGTTGAAAGTTATTGAAAACATAGAAGAACGTACTCTTCTGTTTCTAAGGTGTTTACTTTGGCGACGTAGTTGCTTGGAATGAAGCCTTCCTTCTTTGTTGAGAGAGATTTTGCTCTCCACCATTCTCCAAGCCTAAAATACAAAACAACAACATAATACAGAATGTGTGACCACAGAATAATGAATGTGTGACAGATTAATGAAAGGTTAGTCAGCTAAATCTGTGATGCTGCTGAGGACCTCGTTGGTCCAGAGGGGGAAAAACAGCCTCTCTCTCTGAAGATCAGCCATCTCAGAAGCTTTAAAGGATTTCTCTTCAGAATAAACTACTACAACCCTCACTCAATTATCTGGTAAGTGTTACAATGGCTGGGGGGAGGGGAAGGAGGAGGCGGAAGGATACAGTTTCACTTGCATGTGGAAAGGAACCAGCACATACCGAGGGCTGCAACTTAAACATGGTTGCATATAAATGCAAATATATATGCAAATATATGCAAATAGCTTATTTCACACTGATGGCCATGAATACAAAGGTTAAGACAAAACTAAACAACATGCAGGCCCCATTTAAGTCAGTTCTGCTGGTATTAATAAGATGCAATATTTACTAGGGTTGCCAGATGATTTAATCAAAAATACTTCTCCCTCCAAAAAAAAAAAAAAACTCGGGGAAAAATTCTGTTGAGGGGAAAAAAAGGGGGAGACCAAAGTTGATGAGAAAAAAAAGTACCCCCGAGAGTTATTAAACAATAAATAAATAAATAAATAAATAAATAAAACAGTATTAAAACAGCATGGCCCCTTTAATTGCATGGAGAGAACAGGAATAAGAAGAGAAGAGGTTGAGCACTAAGATCCAGGGAAAGCAATGCTTCCCCTTGCTCAGGTCTTCAGGTTTTTGGCCAGCAGCCATCTTGGCCATCTTGCTTTCTTGGTCAAGTGAGAAAGGAGCTTCCCTGTGGAACCAGGTAAGCAAGGAGTCTGGGAGGAAGGGCAGGAGCTGGGCCCGGTTGCTGAGTGTGTGTAGGGTTGCCAGGTGGCTGGTATTTTCACCT